TACTTCCTAACTAGGTTTGCAGAGCAATTCTCTAATTACATGATTGCGTGTAGCTTAGAGTGATCACCAGTCGAACAGGAAGACTGCATGACATGTCGTGTTATGGAAGATATAGGTCACGTGATATTGGCCTTCGAAAAATAAATTGTATCAGATTTTAATTGCGCATGCAGCTATCTAGCTACGACACAATACAAAGAAAAGTACAGAATAGATGATTCAATTTAAGGGAAAAGCGCAAACTCGCTCCGTTTAAGACACGAGTAAATGACATGAGTAAAGGACACGAGTAGAAGACATTAGTGTCGGCTCTACAGAGCTGGATCACTCGTGGACTATTTTTTTTTATATCATATTGTATTCAGCTATCTAGCTATGACAATTTATATAAAATTTTATTCCCATTATATGCATTTTGCGTTAACTCTATCAAACAAAATTTTCAATATTTTTAGAGATTTTCTCGTGGACTATGAATGGTGTATATATGACTGGAAGTGTGTATTGTAATTTTGTTAAGTCTATGTTAGTATAACAATTGTTATTTCATTCCAACATACATTTCCAAATCATATACCAATCATAATATAATGTCACATCCAATTTTAGAACCATGTATGGAATGGGGATTTGAGCAGATCGCGTGGACAATTTAATAGTCAGTCTATATTTGGAATTAGTAGAATGCTCTCAAGATGTAAATAGTACCTAGATAGATTCCTCATGGTGGAGGACAGTTAATTCAATCGACTCTGAGAGAGAATCACATTAGTATATCTGACCCCAGCAAATGGCAATCGCAATTGGACAGCAGCAAGTATAAGCACCGACAAGAGAACAGGTAGAAAAAGAATCACCTACAGAAACACACCCTCTAACATCCACCGAAACCTGAGCAGGGCCCAAAGTAGTACTGCAATACAAATAAGAAGTGAGCATATCGGCCTCAACTCTTATCTTTATAGAAGAAAGGTCCCTGGAGTGGTAAATCCAAAGTGCCAGTGTGGATATCCGTCACAAAACGTGAAACATATGGTCATGGCTTGTGCTCAGTGGGCTAAGGGAAGAGGAGAGGTGCTGCAACGGGCAAAAGATAGGTCTTTCGAAGCTATGATGAACAGCCCGGAAGACATGAAGAAAATTACAGATTGGATACTTACAAACGGCTGGCTTGAACAGTTCCGGCTTGCAGAAGAAGTTGAGACAGCAGTCAGCGAAAGGATTGAGCGATCGGGAAAAGGATAGGACGATATTCACACTGGACGCACAGTGTAAGCGCACTTCCTGTAGGACACCTTAGGAAACCAATAGATAAGAGATAGACAGTTGTGGGGGGGTTTTTACCGAATATGGTTTCCTCCTGTGTAAATATTATAGCTAGATATTCCTGCATGGGCCCATAGGGTACCTGAACGGGCTAAATGAAATCAAATCAAAAATGGCAATCGCAATTTTCCAGGTTGTTTTACATCAAACAACCGCATAAATCTACCTGAAGCAGCAAAGACTCCAATATGTTGGCCGCTCGAAAAACCTACCAGTTCAGAAGCTCATACAATCTGTCTGTAGTAATGTCAAGCTGCCCAAACGAGGGAGAGAAGACACTCGAGCCAATAACAGGAGATTGGATCTGGTAAAATGGTTGGAAATTTGTGGGGAAGACCAGTCACAAAAAAGGCAGAAGGAGGCAGGAAAAGTTGCAGCATACAAAGAATGGGCTAAATCCTGGAAAAACCAAAGGCGGCTCAAATTACCTCGACATAAAGCAATCGCCGACCCCGAAACCTGGAGAGCAGTCAAGTTCTATCAGAACCGAAAGTCGGATCGATGGAAAATAAGTCTCCAGGAATCGCCATTCCTACTACACCGAAACCTGACAAGGGCCCAAAGCAGTCTAGCTATTCAAATACGAAGTGAGCACATGGGGCTCAACTCGTATTTATACAGAAGAAAAGTACCCGGAGTCTAAAGTACAAGCTGTCCATGTAGCTACCAATCGCAGAACCCCAAGCACATGATTATGTCCTGCCCTCGTTGGTCAAATGGAAGAGGAGAGATCTGGAGACAAGCGAAAGATCGGTCCTACGAAGCTATGATAAGCCATCCTGGAGATATCAAAAGGATAACTCAGTGGATCCTAAATCATGGTTGGATAGAGCAATTCCAGATGACAAATGTGGTCGAAATGCTGCTGAGGGAAAGGAACAGATCATGCCTTTCTTGAGGTCGATAAAGCTGATGTGATTGGGTTATATGGAGGGCACTATAGTGTAACTGCGCTTCCTAAAGGATACTTTATTAAAAACATAGAAATTAAGCAGGAAGATTTGGGGGGTTTTCACCAAAAGGTTTCCTCCCATGTAATTTAGAAAGTATATGGACACCTGCATGGGCCCATAGGGCGCGAAATCAGGATAATGAAATCAGGTTCAAAAACAATCGCATATATCTATGTATAGTTAGATCCATACTTCTGCTCAAATTCTCTTGCCACTCAGCCAGCCTTGTGCTTGTGTTACGGGCTAGGCCCAGTTGGTTTTTTTTTGCTTCAGATTTTAATTGCGTGTGCAGCTATCTAGCTATGACACAATATCAAAGAAGAGTACAGAAAAGATCATTTGATTTACACGAAGAGCACTCATACCTCAGATTTCATTTGCGAGTATCACTGCGAGGTGATGGTGGCCTTTCCTTAACGCCAAGTCAACCCTCATCAGTGAACACCCACCCAGAGGAACGTTTCAAAAATCCTGAGTTATCCAGACATGCCTCCATCATCCATTTACTTTTCTCCGCGCGAAATGTGGTCTGAGATGTTTCCTTCTCAATTGGAGACGAAATAATTCACACTTAAGAATTTAAATACGGAACCCTACATCCGTCGAAGTCAAACTCAAGAGCTTCTACGTATGGCCACAATTTATTATAAGATGAGGTGTCCTAGGGGTTCAATACTGACTCTGATACTCGTATTTAAATGGAGTATGGTCTATAAATACAGCGCTTGTAGATAGTTGATTGTAGATACTAGTAAAGATGCTACGCACTTTATTGTGTGCTGAAAGATAGAAAGATGTACAGACAGAAGATGGTTGTGTGCTACCGACTCAGTGTACTTCGGACCACGCCTAAATTACTCTCCTATCACCCTTGCAGGTTCACACCATACTAATCCCACCAATCATAGCGCGGCTATTCCTGTTTGTCCAGCAGTCTACAATAACATCCTTATTAAGCGCCATAGCATAACGTTTATGCAGGTATGCATAAACAATTCTGAGCTATTCCTAGATCACAACACAATTGCCCCAAACCTTGAGAGTAGCCAATTTCCATCGAGCCCGATATTGTGGAGAGCCCAAATTGAGTCCCCACGAATCGCAATTTTGTATTGGAAGCTGTGGTAATTGGAACTATCAAGTAGGCTACGTTGTTGATACTCAAGTGACAAAAACATAATCAATTAGTTTCACCTAGGTAGTTGAATGAATGCGCCTTACAACATTATGACTTATGGACTATTATTCCCTTAACAATTGCTCTGCATCAAAACTAGACAGTGCCCAAATGCAATCTAACAATGCGAATTAGAGCGAGCACATTGGTTTCAATTAGTCTTCGTACAGAATAAAGTACCACGACTATACGCCCTGGCTGTCCATGTGGCTGCCAATTACAAAAGCTCATGAAATTATCCTGCCCTCGATGTCAAAAGGCCTCAAAGAAATATAAGGAATAGCGCAAGACATGTCCTTTGCAGCGATTTTAAAAACTCATTTCGTCATCAAAAGGATCACGCTTTAAATTTTACTTCATGGAATAATGGAACATCCACGAATGATAAAGGCAGTCAATTTAATGCTGAGGAAAAGAAATAGAACTAGAAAAACTTGGACTTAAAAGAGTAAGTGTCATTGGCAAATATAAATGGTACTAAGGTGTAGTTGCGCCTAATCTATACCAAAAGTGCATACCGAAATCAACAAGTAGACGGGCTCGGTCGTTTGAATAGAGAAGTTTCCGCTCATCTTGACGTATACGTTGGGTTTGTAGCGACGTTCATGGGCTTATAGGCCTTACAGGACCTCAAATCAGGATATATGAAATAATTTTCAATTTAATCTCTATGGCAACCTGTCTAAACTTAGTGAAGAGTTAAATACTATCTCACAAGTTCTCAATTATTATGACTCAAGCTCTACTTTCAGAAGGTTTGCAACAGAAATCTACGGCTAAAAGTAGAAGCTTTAGATCCTAATGAGATTTAGAATTCTCTGTGGACTTGGTGTCCTATCCACATTCAAATACTTGAATTTATCTTTGGCCAAGGACGTTGGGGTTGATTTACAGAGGCTGATAATTTTGATTGGAATTTAGAGAATTTATAATGGTTTCAGGTAGATAAATGTCTGCGTTGAAATACCGACTGTTTATCTCTACAAAACCTATCTTTATAGGCTTAAGACCTTGGTCAATGTATATCTCAGCCAAGACCATGAGAAACTTGTCAAGGCTCGGCTGATGTAATTCTTACACGTGGGCATATGTCGTATGTTTCCATCCCACAACCAAAGTTCTTTTATCCGAGGGTAGAGGTTAGTAAAATACAAAAGGCTATACCGGTCCTTTCCTGTTCCGTACCATCATGTGGAGGTAACAGCCCTCTGGCCTTTCAATTTAGTAGGTGTGTCCATCGGCCAGTTGATCAATGTTCCACACGAAATATTGTGCAGAATATCGCTGAACCTTTCACTTCAAATAGCACAAAATAAAAATTCAGGTGCGATAGCCTGAAGTTGTGTATGCTGATTATCGAAGGGCCCTATCGTGCTAGGACTGTTCGTTTCCATCATGACTGATTGTGCAAAACGAGTAACCTCTTTTATGATGGTTGAATGATATATTTTGTCGTCACTTACGTGATTAAATAAATACTATCTTGCGACATATACTGGCATAGTTTCCAAGTATTCCCGATTCAGCTGCAAGATATGATTATTTCATCCTTCTGATGTTTCCGCAGCAAAGGCACAAAGAAATCCATTACGGACCTGTTCACGGAGATGACCGTAATATCTAAAAGGTGAGCTATTGGGTTTATCTTCAATGGTTCCCGAGCTCATAACTGGAAGCTCTCGACTAGCCCCGGCTGCAGTGGCAAGATCAGCTAGTCTTACTAGATTTTCAATATCTACATGATGCTCGTTTTCCGTGGGGAGGGGGTTATTTGATGAGGTGCATGTTTGTAGTTTCCTTCGATTTATCATAGTTCGAACAACGGTCTGCCATTCAGTTGTTATCAGAGGTTTTTCGATAATGAAGTTGAGCTGACTTTCGGATTGAGACCTAGTCATATCGTAGTCGAGGAGATCAATAAGGGCGAGAATTATAAGAAATATGAAATGATTCCTCAAAGGGCTAACAAAATCAGGGTTTTGAGCTATGTGATCGACGGCACTAGCGGCAATTTCGACAAGATCATTGGGCTCAGAGTCAACTAGTTGTAATTCAACTAAAATTCGAAGATGCCAGTAAGCCATTAATACTAGAGGCTGGCAGTAGGTACTTAGCAAACTCTCTCGCACACGCTCCAGTTCTCCCTTTACAGTTGCACCGTAGGCGGAAGCTAAGGGAACACTTAATGGTGGCAGAGTGTTGGAAACAGTATTTATGGTGGATATATGCCCTAAAATAGTTGATAGGCCTGACAATTAGCCTTTCTCGCTGCAAGGATTTGATGAGGAAACTTACGAGCTAAGTTCCACAGTACATCTCCCAGCAGAGGCAAGTCATCGGGATATAGGACAGAAGCTGTATCAGGTATCAAGGCCGGGCTGGATGTGCTAGCGGAGTTCCATCTATCCATCACAAACAAAGACCACCATATCCTACGCGCAACCTTTTCATCAGTGTCTGGGTCCATGTCTTTTAGTCTATCAGGTTTGTACAAGAATAACTTGATCGAATATGCGAGGCCAATCGTATTACTAATCCAGACCGACCGTGAATGACCAGATTGTGCTTTAGGATGACAGAGAGCATTATTCTCAACCTCAATTGCCAACAGCAACATGGTTTGCAAATAGATGATGTTAAGCCATAGAGGTCGCGATGGTGCATCTTCAAGTGACGAGAGCAGGGTATATCGTGCTGACCTTCGAATATTTGTGATATCGGATGATGTGCTATTATTCTTGGAGAAGGAGTTCACTGCACCAGAGATAGCCTCATGAATCGCTTCACCAAGAGGCACAGGACAGCTTAGTAATTGAGCGATGGTCTTATTTTTGCTGTGGGGTAGAATACTGTATGTAGTATGAATTATATTATAATATCTATTAAATATTAGTCAGCTATACATCGCCTGTACAGATATTTCCAAGTCTGTACATACGCGTCTAATGTTCCATGATCCCATTGAATCTCTTTTTTTGGCGAAGCCTGATCATGGTCAAGATCATCATATGAGCTACTTGACTGCCTCGGTTGCTCTGGCTCGTTTCGCCATATGGCTGTTTGGAGACCATTTGGAGAGTAGTTGGTCTCTCGGAACATGTGTGCGACAGCGGAAGCTGTCTGGGGAGATGCAAGGTCTGAGGAAGTTTGAGGAAGGTTACGAGGGGCATCCTGTGAAGGTGTATCCCAAGATGCTAATGGTCGCTGTGTTAAGTAAGCTCCAAACTCTGCAGTGGTCGAAAATCTTCTTTTTCTCGACATATTTTCTGTACTTAAGGATGGCGAAAAGTCCTCGGATCCTCGTCGTTCAGTTGAAGGTAAGTATTGAGGGACTATTTCTCCTGAGTGCATGGCGCCTTCTAGTGTATGCAGGCGATCTGCAAGCTCTTTAATATATCTAAATAAAATTCAGTCACGGTTCTTCTTCTAGAAATAGTTAGGCGTACCCTTTGCTGGGACCTCGCTTCATCGGAATCCTACTAAACTGACAGCGCGCTCCTACGCGCTTGCAGTTTGTGCAGTACTCTTCGGACTGATTGCCTGATGCATCGCACCGAATTTTCTTCCGGCGACACTCATCACATGCCCTTGATACTTTAGAACGCTTTCTTGGTGCTAAAGATCCGTCTATATTTCCATAATGTCCCCCAATCTGATCCAATGAGCTTGGGCTTGGTTGTAAATGGGCATGATGATCCTGCTCATTTTTATACTGTTGATTTACATCAACCTGACCTTGACCTCTTTGAACCTGCACATCTGACATTGGCCCACCAGTTGTGACATTTATCACTGGCGTGAGACCAGTAGTAAGTTGAGCGGTCATTTGAAGATCATCGGAGTTACGTTGACTTGTCTGTTGCTGGCCTGGAGTATTATTCGACGAAAAGAAGGGGGCACCGCTATCTGCGGCGACGGCACCGGGAGAAGGGTATGATTGCATCTTAAGGTGCGCCTCGTAGATTCAACAGTTCGTCATAAGGACGGTGATAAGTGGCTCGAATTTATAATTCCAGGGACGATACTGGCGTTAGCAGTGTTGTAAATAATCTCGTATTCTTAAACTCTAGAAGGTTACTTTGTGTCAGCCCGGGCGCAAGCGATTTTTGAAGCACAATATGTCTGCACAACTTATGGAGCTAATGGAATGCAAATATTGCGAAGCCAATTATGCCAGCTAAAAATTTCCTATCGATAGCTATCAATAGATAGAGTTTGAATGAGCTGCCAAACATCTGATGTTTGGACAGAGTTGCTTGAAGATCGGGTAAACAATGTTGCGTGTATCGCTGCATATGAGATTGGTGGGCCAGTGATGAATTTCTTGCTATGGCTGACTAAAGATCATCATGCCTAGGGCTAAATTGCGACGAGGCAAATGCGACCATGGTGACGGGTAGGGTCACAAGCCCGAGCAAGATACAAACTGCAGTTAATCCGGTTCAGACCATGCAGGTCTCCCGAGGCTCATTTTCCTCACTCCTACTTGGTCCCAGCAGTCTGGGTGATGGCTCGCGTATCGAAGTCATCAGTAAGTTTAAGATTGTTATGCACCCACTTCCTGTGCTATGAACATGGGGCGAAAATTTAACACCTGTTAGCCATGCCCCCCTAAAGATTCCTAATTCTTAGTATAGGGTCTGTAGAGTTGAGAATGAGTCTGATGCTAGACTAGATGACATTTCTTACCACTGAATCCTCGTCATTCGCCACTGCCTGGGTCAACACAAAAAAGGATTGCTAGCCTACTTTACAGCGCACTCTCCATCAATGCTTTTCTATAATTTCATGAAAAATCTTTGATTTGTCCCGAGACACGAATCATGGAAGGTGTTTAAATGAGGCAAGAAAGGTTGAAGCTAAATTTCAAAGTTACATACCAGTCGGCATTTCCCGACTGGTCGGTTTCCCATAGAGATACGAAAGGATAGCTTTGTGTTTAGATCTTATCCCTATGTCTATATCAGGCAAGCTCCGTACCCAATATTTTAAGTGAGACTTTCTAGCACTCATACACACGCTAAATTTTAGATTCTTACTGGTAATGGATGGAGGGGAGCTTGTTGTGTGAAAAGTACATCCGAGCGCATGGTTGAAAAAAAATTTTTAACGGGCTGAACAGTTGGATGGGAGCTTTTAACCAGCTAAAGGAGGGGATATGTTTCACAAGGCCCTGAGGCAGACTTGATCTGTGCTCGAGCGAGATCTGAGACGCGGTCAGGTCCTTTGTACATACGCTAGATAAAAAATTGTCATTAATAATTTTGATTTTCATCCACTCGTTCCCGTTCCTCATGGCTCCACGCAGTATTTTTTTTTCAAATAATTTGCTGTGTACGCAGCCGTTTAGCTATGACACATGACAGCTGCCACCATTACTAAAGATTCTCGAATAATCCCTTATTTCTCTTCTCGCGCTCGTCGCATGTATTCCAAAAATTGAGATCGGGCTTCCAGCATTCCTATCATGCCGCTTTTTTGGAAAAGCATCCCAACGCCATGTTGGACAAGAGACGAGTCCACTCGAGGACTCTCGATCAAACAACAGGCCTCGCGCAGGCTCCAACATGCGTGTAGATAGATAAGGCCTTGAGCAAAGGGAAGAAAAAAGCCCTTTCCGCCATCTCTAAGCCCGATACTGACATGATCGGGTCAATCGAAATTATTGAAGAGGTTCCTCAACCAACCTCCGTCCCCTAAAGGATCGGGGAATCTTCGAGACCTCCTCCGACCGCATCAAAACCGTCAAAGAAAGTTGCGTCAAATGCAGCTTCAACAAAAGAGTCGCTGCCTAAAGCTGCCACAAAAGCAGAATTCCCCCCTGAGCTTCGACTAATCGTCGAAGCCAAAAAATGATGCGCCGCCGAAACAGCGGCAAATCTAGCACTCTATTACGCCGTCCCAGCGCTACCTTTAAAAAGTGCATAGTCCATGGTAGCTAAATACGGACTGCCACAAAAAGCAGTACCTCTAGTAAAGGCTGTGCCGCAACCTGTGGCCAAAGCCCCAAAGGAAGACGCCCTGAAGGCGAAATCCGATAGACGACTTTTTGTCCGCTTTGGCAGCGACCACCCATGGCACAAGCTCTCACATAGCCGCGCACGGGTCGAAATACATGTTGAGCTGCAGGAAATGTTTAGTGAAACCAGGTCCTTTCATCGTTTCAGAACCGGCTATGCGATTCTGAAAAAGGATAATATTATAAGGCAGAGGGTCCTTGATGCAGCCCCGAAACTAGCGAATATTAACGCCAAACTCGAGGAATCTTCCGACCTTGTCGCCTCCCAAATCGCGAATGTAACTGCGATTATCAAAACTGTTAACGGTACTAATATATTCAACGCTGCGTGGGTCCCAGCCGAGATCCATTCTAAAGTTCGCAGGAAGCCATTCCAGGTGCGACCACAAGGGACGTGCCGTCCTCGTGCACTGTACAGAAGCTGGTATGCCATTTTTGCCCGGGATTCTGCCCCTCGTGCGAGCTTCCACAACTTCGACGAGTCTGTAATAGCGAGAAAGCACCAGCCTCATCGAAAATTTCAGCAGTTTTATCGCTGCCTCGACTTCCTTGCCACCCATGGTCGCTCCCGCGCTCCGGTTTGCCTGAACTGTGGATCAACACTGTACCCTGAAGCAGAGTATAAAGCTACCACCAAATGTCACAACTGTGGCAGTCCTCACCGTACAGATAGTCGAGACAGCTTAGCTCGATCGACCCGATCTGGCCCGATAATCTGGGAAGAATTGGGGTCCATTCGACAGGCCAGCCAACAAGAGTTCGCTAAAGTAGCCCGAGCGAAAGCTGCTAGAAGGAAGGCTGAAGCAGGAAGTCAATCATCTCGAAAGATAAGATAGTATCGAGGGGCTAAGCTTTGAGGCCTTGAACCCCGAAGTACAGGCGTGAAGTGCGAGGAGCACCTGGAAGTAGTCAGCAATGACTTCAACAAAGTTTGAGGAGGGACCAACCATTGCAGAGAAAACCCGGCAAATCATCTTCAGCTCTCAGCGGAGATTGAGCAATGTTGTCATTTGGGAGATATGACGAACGAGGGAATGTGTGAGGAATACATTGTCTGGGTCCTACTTGAGAGAGTCTTCTGTTTTTCTATTCTTTTTGGGATATTTCTTGGTTTTCAATTTTAACTAGCAACTATTTGTGTAGCTATTCAAGTGGTAGGAACAAGCTGGGCGTATCACATATACAACCTTAGTTGGGAACATCGGTCTTTGACCCTTAAGGTATAGCGGGTAGATGTCACGGGTCCAAGTACCATATTAGGTTTTTGTGAAGTGTTTGGGTATTTGGTTGTGTATCGTGTACACAGACTCCTTTTACGCTCCCATCGCACAACTCAGTCACATCCTCGTTACCTATCCTGATTACTTATCCTTGTGACTTATTCCCGTTATGTATCCAGCAAACCAGATCTATACGATGGAAGATGTTGTGATCCGCCTCCTGGTGGTGTTCTCTGGTATGGTTTGAGTAGCCTGGGCACCTACTCCACTTGGGAAGGAGACATCTCAGATTACATTTCGCGCGGAGAAAAGTTGATGGATGACGGAGGCATGTCTGGATAAATCAGGGTTTTTGAGACGTTCCCTGGGTGGGTATTCACGGATAAGGGTTGACTTGGGGTGAAGAAAAAGCCACCATCACTTCGCAGTGATACTCGCAAATGAAATCTGAGGTATGAGTGCTCTTCGTGTAAATCAAATGACCTTTTCTGTACTTTTCTTTGATATTGTGTCGTAGCTAGATAGCTGCATACGCAATTAAAGTCTGATGCAAAAAAAACCTCCCCCAGATCTATCGTTGTGACAGCAGATCAGATTAGATTTATTTTATATTCCTGTCTGAGTCTAAAACTATGCAGGACTGGGGGACTATTCTCAACACCTGTCAGTGGTGTCCCCTACGAACCTCCAGCTCTTACTGTAGAGTCTGCAGAGCCGAGATTGAGTAACACTTTATCAACTTTGAGCTGAGTTATCTCCCCCTCCGTCAAAGATACGCTTCCGATAACACATAAGACGACAAAGACGACGATAATGATGCTGGGAATGAGGAGAGATAATGCGGTACCAAACGCTACAACGGTAGTCAGAGAGGCCCTCGTTACATCACAACATGTGCTACCCACCGGCTGGCGAACAAAAAGCCCACGAAAGCTAAGTAAAAGACCCCTCCGCCCTCAAGAAAAGCAGATTTCGACTCGTCAATAATATCGTCCCTACTAATCTATACCTCCGAATCTACTAGCCATGAGGGCATCTGAAATACATGAGTTACTCGACTACTCCACGTCCGTAACGACTTTTGGATGCTAGGCTAGGCTCCTTCGCGACTGTCACTCTCGACCAAGACTTTTCTAAAATCCTTTCACGACCTATGATTTGTCCTGCGGCATGAATCAGGGGAGGAGTAAGGACGAGGCTAGGAAGGTTGAGAGACGCTCTTAGGTATACACAGGTCTGCTGCGCCCGGCTGGCCAGCCTCTTCGTCATAGGGGAGCCCCGCACCCAGTGGTTTTTGAGACTTTTCTCAGCAGCTACACACCCGCAAATGGCCATCGTTTCGTTGGCTGGAGTGGGGAGATAATGACGGGATAACGGCTCCTCTTAGTGTGTACTCGAATAAAGACCTGTGGGGGTATTGCTGCTGAAAAGAAGTCGTGAAGGAGGCATAGGAGGGAGTACACTACCTGAGGCATAGATACTCCCGGCCTGTAGGCAGAAAGGACCTACATGTCCTTACATAGTTAAAGACTTTTTAGGACAATAAACACCCACTCACTCACTCACTATGCAGGACTTCTAGAATTTATGTGATAGAGGCTAGTTACCTTGGAGTATTTTTTGTAATCAATTTAACCTGTGTTCTTATAGACAGTGAGGGTCATTCCCAGTATATATATATGTATATATTATCATTTTGTTCTA